CTCTCTATGAAGTTTATTATTTGGGAAAATTAATTATCCGAAATGAGCTGGATTTAGAATTTTCGTTACAACATTATATTAGTTTGGAGAAAAAGAAATCTATTATTATTATATGAACTTCAGGACTTTATTCAACATGCTTCGGATTGTCCGATTTGGGTCAAATATGCACCGTTTTGTTGTATGATTTGTTGCCATTTTAAAGGTAACTTCAAAATGCCTCTCTCATAGAAGTCCTGGTCTCTATTCGCAAAAAAATCTAGTAGTCGATTTTCACAATCCTCCCTAGAAATTTTGCAATGCAAGAAAAAGATGATAATCGCTTGGTGCCAAGTCCGGACTGTATGGCGGATGCATTAAAACTTCCCAACCAAGCTCCCGAAGTTTCTGGCGAGCCACTGTAGATGTGTGTGGCCTAGCGTTGTCCTGGTGGAACACGACACCTCTCCTGTTCGCCAATTCTGGCCGTTTCTGGTCAATCGCTATCTTCAAACGGTCCACTTGTTGACAGTAGAGATCAGAATTTAGCGTTTGGCCATATGGAAGCAACTCATAATAAATTCCAGTCCCACCAAATGCATAGCAAAACCTTCCTGGCCGTTAGTCCTGGTTTGACCACCGTTTGAGGTGCTTCACCGCTCTTTGATCACGATCGTTTTCGCACAGGATTGTCATATGTGATCCATTTCTCATCTCCAGTTACCATCCGTTTAAGAAATGGGTCTGCCTCATTCCGTTTGGCCAAGGCTTCGCAGAGGGAAATTCGATCCATCATGTTTTTTTCTGTTAATTGGTGTGGCACCCAAACATCGAGCTTCTTTTTGAATCCAGCTTTGTGTAAATGGTTTAAAACTGTTTTATGGCCGATTTTTAGCTCCTGGGCGATGTTACGACTGCTAACATGCCGGTCAACTTCGATCATTTCTCCGATTTTATCGACATTTTCGACGACCGGCCTACCTGTGCGAGGTGCATCTTTAACATCAAAAATTCCTGAACGGAATCTACGAAACCAAAATTGCACATAATTGGCTGTTACAGTATCGGAACCATAAACACCATTCACAATTTTAGCCGCCTGGCTTGCATTTTCGCCTTTGTCAAAGAAAAACTGTAAAATGTACCGAATTTTCTCTTTGTTCACTTCCATTTTTAACATGCTGTAACTCACAACTGAATGCACCAAACAAAAAACAGCAAAAGAATTTTTTTACTGCGAAATCTCACCTTTCCAACGAGCATAAATATGAAATTGTTTGATCGATACTTTACGAGAAATCTATCAGTGCAGCCATCTACCGAAAAAATAATGGATTTCTTTTTCCCCAAACCAATATTATTGTATATATTATTACGTATATTATTATATTATATTACTATATATTATTTTATATTTATTATTTTATTATAAATTATTATATTTTTATTATTATATATAACATATAATTGCATATTATAAGAAAGTACTTCAATACACTGGTTATATGCGGATTGTGAATTTAATTTGCAAAATGTAACGAACTCCACCAAATACTCCGGCAACTAACAGCTACACAAATAATATAGTGGATATCGTATTCAATACAACAGTATACAACAAAACAGACACTAGTACATATATTAGTAATACGTACAAGTCTTTCAACCAATAGGCTAATTGTAGCCTGGTCCGTCAAATTGCCGTTTGATCCGGAGGCTTGGTGTATCCCATCCGAAACGCAATTCACAGGTCATCATACAGGACACAACCAAATACGAGAAAATTCTTGTTGTTCTGACTTAAGAAATTATTGCGTCCGTTATTGATTTTATGGGAGGTCTGCCGGCCTCAAAGATATATTAGGAATTAAAATAAATTCTAAACGAAAGGAATTTCTTGAGCGAAGACTCAAAACACCATAAAATTTTCTCCAAAACCGATGGCAAGCCGTGAGAATTCAATCGGAGGCTCCTCGTTCTTGATGGACCTAATTTTACCCCTGATCTTTTAAAAAGGCTATGGCCTAAAAAGTGGCATAAAAGTTTTACCGTCGTGCTTGCGGGTTCGAATGTTAAGGAGTTAAAGAACTCGTTAAGCTTGCCGGCGTCGTTTGAGAGGTATCTACGTGAAACGTCAGCGCCGTAACTGTTCAAAATCTGCTCAGATCTCAAGCGTTATTATATGAGAGCTTAAACAAATTAACCCTTGAGGTCGGTGGTGTGAAAGCGCAGTTGAATCAACGTGATTGTAGACCAACCCGTTTCAGATCTATAAATGCATATTTTAGATTTCATGATTCAACAAACGAAAAGAATCCATAGTTGCGACTGTCAACTATGAACGTGTTAAATATGCATAACGTCGTCTTATTATATTTGATAGACAAACCAAATTAAATTTTTTAATGAATAGTTCGGTCCTTTCATCTCCCAAACTTTCGAATAACAAGAAATCGTCCGATAGTAACCTGGACGCAGCCAAAGGTTCATCCAAGAATATGTATGGTAAGAAATTGTAAAATATTAACCTGACTCTTCCGCTCGTTTTTTTGATTGCTGAGGTCCCTAGACCAATCATTGCGGGTGATTCCTTCAGCAAGTGCGGTTGATTAATTGATGCTAAACATAAGCGTTTAATAGATCCATTAGCTAAGATGCCTCTTAAGGCCATAGCTACTGAATGCAAAATTTTTTTAATAGAAAGTAAATTTTTAGAGTTATTGAGGAATTAGCCGAGTTTCGTCACAAAACCAGAGTATACAAAGTCGCTTAAACATAGGACAATACACAAATTAAAGACTGAACGTTTTCTTCCGTTTTCAAGACCCAGGCAGTTAGACCCTATCAAATATAAAATCGCTAAAGCAGAGTTCGAAATTTTGCTTAAATTGGGAATATGTAAACCATCTAGTTCTTCTGTCGGTTCAACATTACACCTGGGTGAGTATCGACCTTGCGGAAATGTTCCTGTTCGATATCCTTTACCCTACATCATATAAGTTGGAGCTTGAATTTTTAACATGCGATTATATTTTGTAGTATTAGTTAAAAATGCCACCCTGCACTTCTGTCTTAGTGTGAAATAAGAAGAGAGATCGATTTTTTGGTCGGTTGAGTGGAGTGGTCAATAAATGCGGAGAAAAGGAAAAGTGTCATACGTAATGTAAAAAGATTAGAAAAATACAACTTTGGATTATTGTTGAAATGTTTAATAAATGTCTATTAAAATATTTGTCTTGCATACTTTCTACAGGTTTTACGAAGATGAATTGGTTAAATGGTTCAAAATATAAAAAGGAAACGAACTGAACATGTTCGGCTGTAAAACTATTCTATATGTAACAGTGATTTCAAAGAAAGTGATGTGATATACACTTTTAAAGTAGAAAGTAAATATCTATGTGCATTGGATTTTAATAAAGTACGAATTTTATGATCTCTGAAAATGTTACACGTGAAAATGGATATGCAACAACTTCATTCAAAACAAGGGTCCTATTAAAACTATATAAGTTATCGTGTTACCGTTTGAGCATTAAAAAGCTATGCGGTGGCGTGTTTTGCGTAATGGATAAAATGTATTATTCATGTCATCAAAATAAAAACGCTGCAAAAGTGAGGTAACAGTTTACGTAACGATAAACAGAATTATATTTAAGCGTTTATACTTCAAGTGTTGCGATAGTTGTTTGTATTGATAATAGAAACCATAAAAGTCCGTAATAATATCTTAGACTGAATTTTGGAAAAATTTTTGGATCATCTTGCAATTTAAATAAATAAGATGAAATAAACGTAAGAATTTAACGAGCTAAAAATTTTCAAAAGTTCTTAAATTGTGCACGCATACGAACTATTTACAAAAAGATTAATGGATATGTATCTATCGTTTACTACTTACGTAATTAAATGATCGAGTCTGAATTACCATTTGTTTAATTCTGGGTTTGGAAGCATCTGAGAGTAATTTGTTTACTGTTTGGTACTCCTTAAATTAGCACTTTGTCGTAAGTAAAATTCGATTACATTGGGAGAAAAATATTATTAAACTAATTAAAGCGTGGAACTCACATACGATACAGCATTGAAACTTGACCCCTTCTTGCAAGGGCAATGGAAAGCAAAGTTCAATTTATCTCTCTTTTGGTGGCTTTTGCGAGCACCACAATTCTCTCTTGGTTTGTGAGAGCAAATAATATCAGAAAGAATTAAATGATAGGATGGTCCAACTTTTACGTAAAAATTCAAACTAGGAGATTAGTATACACTTTCTGTGTTCCTACTATTAATAACAATTGTAATGTTTTTAAGTAGCGTTTGTAGGAACAAAAATTCTGTTAATACTATCTTGATATGACATACCATTCTCTCTAATTTTTGCAAGACAGAAGCATATACAATCTTGGGTTTTTAAGCGAATAAGCGCTGTGATATGTACATAAAGGTGTATGTACGAAAAAACCAAACCAAACACATTTTTCTTTTCATCCTTTATTTGATATCGAAAAATTCTAAATTTTATGCTCGCCAAATGTTTCCCTAAATTTCAATGAAAGTGTTTATATGAAGATATATGGAGAAATTTTTTATTATTAAAAGGAATTATGTTATAGGAATAATTTTTGTGTAATTTTGTCTAATTTACTGATTATTTGTGTGTTTATTAAAATAAAATAAACACCATGATAATACAAATATATTTTCGCACAAACATACTTATATACATAGCAAAGCACACGTTTACTTAAAAACTAACAATTGTATATGATTCTGCTTTGCAAGCGTTTGAGAGAATGTGACATCATACTAAGAAACTATTAAAAGAAACTATTATATAAATGAGAATGAAAGAGTAAGCAGCCAAGTGACTGTAAATAAACATTTTCTCTACTGTAACATAAAAAGTCTGTCATAATCGCCTAGTTTGAATGTTGAATAAATGTGAGACCATCTTGTCATTTAGTAGTCTCTTGTATTAAAAAGTAATTTGCGCTGATCAAGCGGGTACTGCTATTTAGTTATTGTCTCTTATTGTGCAAGCAGCTAAAAAATTTTTAGATTTTGTTTGGAGAAAAAAAAATATCGTAAATTTATAGAAAGGTTCTAAAAAGCGTTAAAGACATAGTGTTCATTGAAAAAAAAATCCAAACTATCACGGTGTTGAAATATGTTTGTCATAACACATTCACAGCACAATACATGAAAATATAATTGACTATAATCGATGGATATTTAATGTAAACAATTGGTTTGAACATTCGAATGCGAAGTGTGAAAAGTGTATAAATTTAAAAATCATGAAATAATAAACCAAAGCTAGCGCAGATTAGATAGTAGTTAGCTACCAATTACATGAAGCAAAAATAAATAAGCAAAAAAATAAAATTTAAGGATCAAATAAAAAAATGAAGTCTTGATATGTAAATTATTATAATTTTTCAAAAAAGATATATGAGGGGTCTTTTGCATCGTTTTATAGCAAGGGTAGAAGCTATCTTTCAGAAAATATGAACCACACCTCATTAAAAGGTATTGATATTACTAGTGCGCCCAAACTAATACAGGCACAGAGGACAAAAATGTCTTAAAATGCGATATTTACTTTGCTGAAATACAATCAAAAGTAAATACTAGTACATTATACATAATTGAATAGAGGCATTTCTTCTGCAAGAGTTGGTCTGACCGAACCTTTTATTCACTTCAGTTATTTTCAAAGTTGATATGGTGACACGTAAGATTAATTAATTAATTGTTCTTCAATAAAAGTAGGCAGGCACGCATAAATCGATTTTTCTGTTCATTTTTATTGGTTGTATAAATGTTGGACGAGATCTCCGACGAGCACTTCTTTGCCTTTACACATATAGCCAATGGATGGTACGGACGATTGACGGATGAACACATTGGATGGTCTTCTTTCCTTGAAAGCCGCGATTCAACCCCCCTCGCTCCAAGTAATTTCTTTGTTAACGTGTAATCATTCGAAACTAGTGCTTCTTGTTAATTTTCTTAAAGGTGGGTTTTCTTTCTTATTTCTTCCCAGAACATTTTCCTCAATCTTGATCTGCATAAAGCGCCTACATAATATGATACGCGCGAAGGAATGCAAAGTTTTATTTATTTGCATTACTATAGCAACATTTGCAAAAATTTTTCTTCACCAAAAGAATGGAGTTTAAATTCGGATCTTTTTCATCAAATATTTAATAATAATATGTTAAAGATGGCGTTTTCAATACACCGACAAGAAAGTCATCTTATTTTTATATGAAGCTAGTGTAAATAAGCGCACAGAAGGGCCCCAGAGCCAATTTGTATTAAAGCGAACATTTAGTTAATTCAAACGATAAGTTGAATATATAGGTAAATGGTAGCGAGTAGAAAAAGGAAAAGTTTTCTAGTTTTCTTTTCGAAATAATTAGTAATTGCTTTGTCGTGAATTACGCGCACTAACATATGACGGTGCGGATATGTAATTTGTACAGGTTTACGTATTTGTATGAGTTCAGGTATAGGAGCACGTGCTTAAACTTTACAATTTAGTTATCATATACGAGGAAATCACGCTTTAGAAAACCAAACGTGTTTTTACAAACACTAAAGAACGGTGCGCTTGGTGTGTATAGCTAACTAAACGTATATTCACGATATGTGTGGATATACACACTTACTATCCGTGAGATTCTGTATCGAACTTGTGTTACAAAAATGGGTAAATGAGTTGCCAAAGACGTTCTTCTACTTAACTGTTGAGTAATTTAGAGAAAACTTTAGATCCACTGATTGAAATCTACATAACCAATTTTCAAAACATTACGAATTTTCCGAAAACTATTCTTTTCTTCTCATTTATATTAGCAACCATATTCAGGTACATTTAAGTTTTTCTAAAAAGTATTTAAATACCTCTCGCAAGTTTCAACTCAAGCCGCACGAGTGTGTGAAATTTGTCTTTCATTTCATTTTATTTTATTTTTACAAATTGAAACCGGAATTTATAATTATGGTGCAAAGTGTTAGTAAAAGAGAGGAAAACGAAGAGGAAAACGAACGAATATTTACATGGTATAAATCGCAACCATTCGGTACGGTTTTAATAAAGCGATATGTTGACCAGTTGGCGTTTTATTTTGGCTATGTTTTACAAAACTTGTCTAACGATATGTTCGTTTTTGTTGTTAATGAATGCACCAGCGCACGGCGCTGGTTTTGGTCGTTGCCCTAATTATCCGTCAATGCCAAAATTCAATATGAGTCAGGTGAGTAAATGAAAAAATTTTAACAATTATAACTTTACTGCTTTAAGAATGCATGACCGTTCTTTTTAACTTCAAATTTCCATTTGAATTGAATTCGACTTAATCCGACCACCAGTTGCCGCATTTTAAATGAAATTGCTAACGATTTCGGAAAAAATTAATGAGCGTTAAGCATACATATGATTTATTAATCAATTAATTTTTACGTTTTTGCGGCTTTTAGTTTCTTAAAAATTACACATATCTTGGGAAATTGATGTATAATATTTAGTACAAAACAATTGAGAATAGAATTGATGCTTCATCGTCCACAAAAGATTAACAAATGGCTCTATCCTACATCATTTAGTGAATAGTCCGTGGTATAAAGTCTATAGTGACTGGGACATTTAAAACTTATTGCAAAGGCTTTTCTTCTGTACAATATTAATTTCAGAAAGGGCTTAATAATTTCTACATCTTTTTTTTTTGTACATGGAGTACTGCTTAAAAGTTCCGCATTTATCGATGCCTACGCGGAATACTAGCACACTTTAGCTGTATGTATTAAATAAATTTATTTTTTCAGTCGCCGAGTTTCAACAATAGTCACGTTTGTATCCCGTCCAAATTCAAATAGGCACATCTGGGCTATAATAAGAATACACGAACTTTTAGAGGATCACGCTGTAACGAGATTACCAATAGCTATTTTTGGATACAGACATAATATTTTCATAACTTCGTGAACGTTCCATTTAATTCACAAACAGAGACTTTTTGGTCACTAACAAGAGTGGTGAAGAATGTTAACATCTCTTGTTTCTTTGTGTTGGATTTTTTCTTTAATCAAATTAAATTTCTTTCTGTTAAGTAAATAAAGATCATTTTAAAAATATATTTCATTAAATTTAATGCAATTTCAAATTTATTTTATACGTAATACATGCGTACGATTGATTCCGAATTTGATTCCCATGTAGTACTGACTTTTAAACTTACTAACGTTTAGTTTAAGAAAGCACTATCAACAGTTACAAAGCAGTTTATTTCATCCAAATTAGTCTATTTATCATTATTTATTTCATTATTATTATTTAGCAGTAAATAATAAAAAAGAAAGTAGTGCAAAAACAAAGCTAGTTACCTTCAATCTTAGAACCTTCAGACATCCCACAAAATATATATATTCTTGATTAGCATCAAATTCTGAATCGGTATGTCCGTCTGTGCATTATCTGTTGTAAACATTCTCCTGGCCGCATATATGAAAGTATCGACTCCAAATTTGCCAGAAACAACAACAGGGCCAACTCGGTTGAAGGACACGCCCACGGTGCCGCATAAACTTAAAAAAGCTTAAAGGAATAAAAAATAGGTTTTTCGTGTGTTACTCATAAATTACAGCAGATAAATTTACAAATATTTGAATGCATATTTTGGGGGCGATGCTGTAGTAGCTGTACCCAATATTATAGTGTATCAAATTTTTACTTTTTTTTCAATATATTGGTAACGCGTAGAAACAGGCTTCGAAAACCTCATAAAGTATATAAATTCTTGGCCAGTTTCAAAGCTGAAATGCACCCAAGCATGTCCGTCTGTCAATAAAATCCAGCCGATAATGTAAATGTTCTAATTGAATAATACTCACATTCTCGTATTTGCTGCGTTGATTTTTAGCGCTTTAACAGATTTGCTACGCTAATATCTCGTTTAACAAATTAGCTGCGCTCATTTCTGCCGCTTTAACAGCATTCAGCTGTTCACACGGTGCTTTGTTTTATAAATCTTATAAGGCAAAAAACCAGCTAACGGCCTTTAGCGAAAAATTAAAGCCATTTTACAAGTGCACAAAGAGGTTATACGAAGTGAGTAATTGCAAAAAAAGAGTTAAACGACACTTTCAGTTTCCATTCCTAACTTGTGCACCAATTTGCTACATAATGTATATTTATTGCACACCTGCGTTATTCATAACGGTGGCACTAACAACACGTTTAGAACAAAAATATCAACAAGTTACTCACCTTTTCATCGTCACCTTCCCGTTTTTGATTACTCAACTCGTCCTTTTCTTTGTTTTCCTACCTCTGGAATACCTATTCCGTTTGGTTTCTAATTTTATAATTTCCTCTATAAAGAATAAATTTATATTATTTGAAATTATAGTAAATAAGAGAAGCTTACCTAATGACCTTTTGTTTTGCTACTAGTTCGTTTGAAAAGAAAAAAAAATATTAACATAAATTTTAATATATTATTAAAACATACCTATTGATATTTTATTATTGTTATTCTTTGCGTTACTTCTTCACCAACGTGCGTACAGAAAACTGTTATCTGGTTTTTTTCTTTTCAAGGTATATAAACATACAGCTTGTGTGCAGAGAAATTGCGGCATACAACAACAAATGTGCGCCGCTATACTTGTACTACATATGTTAACTTGCATTAATTTTCTTTAAAATGTATTCTACAAACTGTAAGGAAAGCATGAAGGCATGCATGTGTGCTATAGAATAAAGAATATCTAATAGATACGCGAATATATCGACACGTATGTTTGCCGCCATTTTACTTTTTATGATATGATATTCGCCATTCTTCTTTTTTCTCTTTGAACGTACATATGCGTACGTATTGAAATATTAGTTTGGGGAAGAAGAAATCCATTATTTTTTCGGTAGATGGCTGCACTGATAGATTTCTCGTAAAGTATCGATCAAACAATTTCATATTTATGCTCGTTGGAAAGGTGAGATTTCGCAGTAAAAAAAATTCTTTTGCTGTTTTTTGTTTGGTGCATTCAGTTGTGAGTTACAGCGTGTTAAAAATGGAAGTGAACGAAGAGAAAATTCGGTACATTTTACAGTTTTTCTTTGACAAAGGCGAAAATGCAAGCCAGGCGGCTAAAACTGTGAATGGTGTTTATGGTTCCGATACCGTAACAGCCAATTATGTGCAATTTTGATTTCGTAGATTCCGTTCAGGAATTTTTGATATTAAAGATGCACCTCGCACAGGTAGGCGGGTCGTCGAAAATGTCGATAAAATCGGAGAAATGATCGAAGTTGACC